AAAATTAAAATTTAAAAAAAAGGAAAAAAAAAAGGAAGGAAGTAACAATGCCAGAACTTGGGTGAATTTAAAAATACCATGCTAGATGAAAGGCACCAGGCACAACAGGTCACACAGTGCATGATTCCATTTCTATGTAATGTCTAGGATGCTACAGAGACAAAGCAAATCCACAGCTGCCCAAGGCTGGCTGTTGAGAGATGGGGAGTTACAGCTAGTTAGTGGATACAGGTAGTGCCCATTAATCAGAAGTTTAGGTGCCACCCCTGGCTATGCCAGCAAGTATTCAAATCTATGTTGCTAGCAGGGAAACTGTTTGTGGGTGAATGAACTATTAGATCGGCCTCCTCCTGCCTGGTCCACCGTCACCCTAATAAGCTTGAGTTCTTTAAACGGGCCCTTGGGACTCCTAGTCAGAGGACCCCACAGGGGGTGCACTTGCTGTTTCTTAGCTCCCAGCACAGCCTGGCTCCAGACCCTGGGCTGCTGGGAAGAGAAAGCAGAGCTGCCAGCAGGTCCTCGGATGCTCCCTGGTGAGGACTGCAGTGCTCAGCGCTGGGGGTCCTGGGCTGATTGGAGGATGTGGGGCTCAGGGCACACCGAGAGCTGGCAGCACCCATGGGACAGACATTCTGCTTGCTCTGGGTGGGTGGGGAGGTGTACACATACTCGCTGAATTGGTCCTTGGCAACCTGCAGGGCATTCCGGGGCTGGGGATAGTTGGAGACCTCAATGGAGGCGCGCGGGCCGCACAGCAGCTTGAACAGAAGGTTGTCCACGATGGCCAGGGCGGTGGCTGGAGAGTGGTACGCCTGGTTGTTGAACAAGGCGGTGACCACCATCTGTCCTCCCTCGTCTCTGAAGGACGTCGCCACCAGGCACCGCTCATTAAAACCACCTCCCTCCACCGAGGCTCGGAAAACCAGGAACTCTTCCAGGTCACCTGCGGAGCGAGAGCAGGGGTTGCTGGGGAACAAGCAGGGATCCTCACTACTATCGCAATGATGCTCACCAGGGGCTGACCTCGGGCATGGCCAAGGTCCCTGGGCTGTGAGGTCTCCTGCCCGGCCAGCAGTGCCGCCACAATGCTGGAAGGCTCCCACTGCCAGGGCACTCAGGCTTTTCTCAGCTCTGCCAAGATCTTATCATCCCTCAGTACACTGAACCTCAGCCTGCGGATGAGGACATGGGATGGAGCGATGAAATGAGAAAACCGCCTAGCACATTCTTTTTAACCAGAACATGGCTGTTCTAAGCGCACTACAACATCGGTGGCCATTAGACAACTTTAAATTTCAAGCTTAGAAAACATGTCACAAGGCAAAGACACACTGTGACCAGCCTACTCTATAAACAAAGACAAGGTAAAGACTGTGGAACTTTCGTGTTTTTCTTACAAAAAGCTGAAGAACAGGGGTGTAGTAGAGGAACACCTGGCCACGTCTAGCCCTAGTGAGGCGGCTGGTCTCTGCTGCCTCAGGACTGCCCCAGCACCGTGAGTTCTGCCCCGGGGGACATCTGGCAAAGGCCAAAGATGATTTTTGATGGTCATGATAACAGAGGGGCCAAGTCAGGACTCTGAACTGTCCCAGGAGACACAGGACAGCCAAGGCCTGCCCGCCCAGAGGCTGGCAGTACTGCGGGGAGAAGCTGGTCTCGCCGGGCCCCGACTCGGCTGCCCCTTACCCAGCACCTCGCGGGGCTCCTGGCCCTCGGCCTGTAGCATGTCTCTCAGGAGCTCCGACAGCTGCTGATCCAAACGAGAGGTGCTAGAGACCGAGAAGGGCACCACGGTTCTGCCGTACTCGCCCAGACTCAGCCTCAGGAGCGGGTCGTCGAAGAGCTCGGTTGAGTAGCTGATGGCCAGGAGGGCCAGGGTGATGCAGGTCAGGGGGACAACGACCTGGGCTGCCAGCATCTTCCACTCGCGCCAGCTGTACGCAGCCTTCTTCAGGAACATGGCCCACAGCTGCTGGCAGTGGAGGGAAAGCTGCGGCAGAGGAGAGGCAGGTAGCACGGGAGCTGGCACCTGGGCCCATGGCGGTACTGCCTCCATGCCACACCAGCCTGGGGGGCTTCGCTGACTATCCCTTGGATGGCTACACCAGGAGCAACCTCAAAGC